CCTTCCCTCCCCCTTCCCTCTCCCTTCCCCCTCCCCAGGTGCCACATCCAAGCCCTCAGGTTTTGGGGTGACACTGCCAGGGTGGCTCCAAGGGGACAGGGTGTCTGTGTCCCCCCCCGCGCCCTGCCCAGGGTCCCCACGTCCCCCCGGCCCGGCTCGGGGCGCTGCAGGCAGCGGGGCTGGGGGTGACCCCACCCCAGCTGGGCTTTTTGGGGCAAAAAAGGGACATTTTGTGTCCCTCCAGTGACCTTCGAGCGCTTCACGGGGGGTGTGAACCCCAGCAGGGGCTGGACAGGGCACTGCCAGCCCGGGGGGGCACGGGGGAGGTGACACCAGGGCACGGCCAGCCCGGGGGGGCACGGGGGAGGTGACACGAGTGGGGACACGGGGGAGGTGACACGAGTGGGGACATGGGGGAGGTGACACAGGGAGGGATGTGGAGGGGGATGTCAGTGGTCGGGACAAGGAGGAGGTGACACGAGTGGGGACACGGATGAGGTGACACGAGTGGGGACATGGAGGAGGTGACACAGGGAGGGACGTGGAGGAGGTGACACGAGTGGGGACACGGATGAGGTGACACGAGTGGGGACATGGAGGAGGTGACACAGGGAGGGACGTGGAGGAGGTGACACGAGTGGGGACACGGATGAGGTGACACGAGTGGGGACATGGAGGAGGTGACACAGGGAGGGACGTGGAGGAGGTGACACGAGTGGGGACACGGATGAGGTGACACGAGTGGGGACATGGAGGAGGTGACACAGGGAGGGACGTGGAGGAGGTGACACGAGTGGGGACACGGATGAGGTGACACGAGTGGGGACATGGAGGAGGTGACACAGGGAGGGACGTGGAGGAGGTGACACGAGTGGGGACATGGATGAAGTGACACGAGTGGGGACGTGGAGGAGACGACACTTGGGGGGGACACCTGGTGTGTGCGGTGGGAACGTGGGAGGGGGGGTGACACACACGTGGACATGGAGGTGACACGAGTGGGGACACGGGGGAGGTGACACAGGGAGGGACGTGGAGGAGGTGACACGAGTGGGGACATGGATGAAGTGACACGAGTGGGGACACGGGGGAGGTGACACAGGGAGGGACGTGGAGGAGGTGACACGAGTGGGGACATGGATGAAGTGACACGAGTGGGGACACGGGGGAGGTGACACAGGGAGGGACGTGGAGGAGGTGACACGAGTGGGGACATGGATGAAGTGACACGAGTGGGGACACGGGGGAGGTGACACAGGGAGGGACGTGGAGGAGGTGACACGAGTGGGGACACGGAAGGGATGTGACAAGTGTAACCGTGGAGGCGATGGCACCGATGGGGACCCGGGGGGTTTGGGCCCGGGGGGTGTGTGTGTCGTGTGTGTCCCCCCACCCCCCCCCGCTGGTGCCACCGAGGAGGCGGTGACATTCCCCATCAGGCACCGCAGCGGGCACCCCCAGG